CAGGGGGGATGTAGTGACCACGCAGCCAGCCTGGTATCAGCAGGAGCAGAGAAGAGGGACAGGCCCAGAGTGTCCGAGGGAGTGTCAGGTGGGAGGGTGTGGGGATGGGACAAAGGGACCCCACGCCAGGTCTGGGGTGAACACAGAAGGGTGTGGGATGCTGGGACCCAGCCCACCAGGGGACATCCACACACACCAACAAAGTTGATGCTCTTTCCAAGACTGAATTTAAGGTCCGTTCTTTAAGTTTCCAATTCCATTCAATTGAATGTCTGCTAAATTAAGAGCCTAGCACATTGTAATAGGATGTAATTGCCTATTTACACATATATTTATATAAGGAGATTATCACGTCAAAATCCTGACTTTGAAAAACAAAGTTTATGCTCTCAAAGCTGCTTCTACAACTCCATGATGAAATTGCATCCTTTTATTTCCTGCAGGCCTTTCTCGTGCTGAACTTAAGAAACCCCGGTGTCTAATAAAATGTATCTGAACCCCCAGTATTCCATTATGGGAAATGGGTTTCTAGCTGCCTATGCTAATTATAGAAATGACACCATTAAGTGGATGTCTTTTGAGCAAATCCAACTGTATTACCTGCAGCTAACCCCACAGAGTAATCGCCAGATTTTGTTATTGTATACAAAAGGTCATAGTTCAAACTCATTCAGATGCCAATTATGCACCTGTTTGGCTCATTTCTAGTAATTTCATGTAGCGGAAGATTTGTTATTCTTCATTTATAACCTACTAAACCTGGTAAAACTGAGATGTGGGCTCCCTGGGTCATAAATGAATAGAAGCCACTCTCAGACAAATGAAATGCTCAGAATAGAATGTTTACAGCACGCTGCTGAGAGGTCTTCATGAAATTGCTTAGGCTGCAATCTCCATGCGTGGTAATGAAGCATGTGGAGCCCACCTGAGTGTGTGCTCTGAAAACCCTCATTCTGGACAGCAGGTACTGAACGGGGTTTCCACCCCAACTCTGAGGGGCTGCAGCAGGCAGACGCCCCTTCACCTCGATGGGGTGCAGACAGAGCTTATCCACGTGATCTGAAGGCAGGGAGCGGCTGCATTTGACGAAGCTCACGATGCCTCCCGCCCGGCAGCCTGAGGCAGCTGGACCCTGCGGGAAGCGGAGGCCTGCCTGGTGTGTTTGTGGCACTTTAATTGCAGGTGGGACTACAAGTGGGGTCCTTTCTCCTTTCTTCTGCCCCAGAATTTCTCTTGGCATCTTAGCTCATTTATCTACTCACTCCTATTTTTCTTAACATGTAAGGGTTCATTTAGTGTAATCTCAACTCTGTCAGTTTGTGCATTGCAAACACCCTCTCCTAGTCTGTAATTATGTTATTAACTACTAGAGGCCCAGTGCACAAATTCGTGCACAGGTGGGGTCCGGCCAGCCGCCCCGATGGGGGCCTATTGGGCCGGACCAGCGGGGTGGGGGGAGGGGCTGATGGCAGCTGGTTAGCCAGCCCCAGCCCCAATCGGGGTGGGGGGGCCAATTGGGATTGGGGGAGCTGATCAGGAGCAGGACAATGGGGGGGAGGGGCCGCAGGTGGTTGGCTGGCTGGCTCCACCCCCGATCAGGGTGGGGGGAGCCGATCAGGGGCCAGGCCGGCTGGGGGCGAGGGGGCCCGATTGAGGCCCGGATGAGGCTGGTTAGCTGCTGCAGTGTGCATCATAGCCACCAGTCATTCTGGTCGTTCTGCCATTCTGGTCACTGGGCTTTTATATATATAGATGGTTAAGGTGCTTTTTCCTTGGGAAGGTTTTTTTTTCTGTGGTTTTGGGGGGAGGGTGGTGATGAGAAGTGCAGTGAGAAGCAACCCTCACCTCCCAGATCCTTCACGCTTTCGTTATCACGATGTCATCAACACACCCTACCCACCCTCACCTAAAACTCTGAGTGTGTCCTTTTACACAGGCAGTTAAGGAAGTTTTCTTCTGTCGCCAGTGAAATAGGGCCTGCTTGTGCTGCAGGGGTAACCAATCTCCCAGCTCTACTCACTAAACACTTTTCTTTCCCATGGTGATTTTTAATACCAACTTCCTGTATAATACAGGCCAGGTTCCTTCTGGGCAGCGAAGTTGGCTTCATTGGTCTATCTATCAGTATACTTGTTCTCAATCTGATTAATCATTTCAGCTTCACAATAAACCTTGATATCTAGTTGGACAAGATAATCCACGCAATTCTTCAAAATCATCTTGGCCTTTTACTCTTCCGTATTTTAAAATATTCATAGAGAAGCAAGAACCGTGCAAATTGACGTGTGTGTGTGTGTGTGTGTGTGTTATGATGATATGTATATGCCAGAGGAAAAGGCTCAAGTGGGAATTCTACACACTGAATGAAGACGGGTCACTAGATGAGTTAAGTCATAAACTAGACACAGCTGAAGAAAGAATAGCAGATTTGGTAAGACAGCTGAGGAAATCACCAAGGGTGGCACCCAGAGAGAGAAAAGGATGGAACCTATGGAAGAAGTTAGTAGACGTTGGTCAGGACAGGATGAGATGAGCTCCATCCACACAAGTACCACACGATGGAGAGAGAGAACAATGTAGAAGGGCACAGCTCAGGGCAGGGTGCGGAGTGTCCCATAAAGGTCTGCTCCGTGTGGGAGGTACTTTGTGATGAGGAAACCAACATGACCACCGTTGACCCGAATGCCAGCGATGGGCTCTGCTGCCAGGACACCACCAGCCCCAACCCGGTGGTCAGAAGCCCAAGCTCCTATCCCTCAGGAGCAACCAATGCTGCTGCCACTACCAACATTCAGATGGAGGGTGGCAACCTTGGCCACGGCTGAGTCCCTCCAAATGGAGCTATCCCAGGGCCTCTGAGGGGTGGAGCTTGGCCCACTTCACCATTGAGGACATGAGAGGCAGGGCCAGGGCAGGGGAGGCTCTGCTCCCTAAAACCCGGGGTGGCGGTGGGGGTTGGCATGATTCAGTACCACGCATGGATAATTTTTGAAAGTTTGTGTCAGTTCTTCGCAGTTTTCCTTTTCATTTAATTATGAAAACATTATGTTTCTCTGAAGGAAGCCAACAGTTGGTGTTGATCTCTCACGCGCTCCAAGTGCGGTTGGATAAACAAGCCAGTTTTGCAGCTGCTCCGTGATGCGAATGTTTGACGATGTATGTCTTTCTGTTTGATCTGTGGCCCAGGAGGTGAGAAGTTCAGTAAGCGTGTCCCCTCCTGGTACCAAGCGGGCCGACATCCTGCACAACCTCGGGGAAGATGCCTGCCAGCGGATGTCCAGTGGGGCTGGACGATGGCCCTTGAGCTATTCCAGTCACAGCTCTTCCTGCGCCTGAAACCGCAGCCCAAGTTAGGAAGCTCTCATTCCTGGAAGGAGCTGTGTTCTGATCCAGAGAGTTTCTCGCTGACCTCCCCAGGCGTGGTTTGCACAAGATGAGCAGCTGGAGGCTGCAGTTTGGAAAGGACTTGGGGACACGGAGAAACGCCCCCAGGACGGATTCTTCTCCTCTTTGGTATCTGGTGCAGGACAAGCTCCTGAATATGGGCAGGACACGCGTTTTGTAGTTACACAGTCCCCTCAAGTAGAGTTCAGGCTTGTTATTCGAAGGCAGCTTGTCTGATATGGTTCTTTGTTGCTCATTTATGAAGCCAATTGTTCACCTAATTAGTACAATCCATCCACCTTCTAAATACAGGACTCCTTAAAGCAGAGACCATGAGGTGGGCTCATCAGCCAGGCACACACGGGTCAGTGGCAGCTGACGGTCACCCTCAGGAGGCTCAGGACCCAAAGTCCAATCCAGCCAAAGGCCAGACCCAGAGCCAGGCAGGGACACCATTCCTGAGAAGGAATAAGGAGTGACCAAAAAGGGGAGAGGAGGAGCCGCCATGGCGCCGAGGGGAGCATCCCGGATGGTTAGAAAAGGAACCGCAGGTAGCCCTGAGGACCCAGAGGTCCAGCCCGTGTGGTTTTGTCAGGCCACACCCAGCCTGGGAAGGCCCAGGTCAGCATGGGACCTAGGGTGCTGGGTGCCCCTCCCAACAAGAGCCCAGCAGGTGGGATTCTGGAGATGCTGGGGGCTGAGGCCTTGTGGTAACGTCCCACTGGGCACGGCTAGGAGGACATGGTGAGTGCAGGGGTCCAGCCAGCGAAGCCCATGGATCAGTCACCCGTGGTGGCACAACCCTGCAGACATGGACACCTCCAGGCTCTGTGGCTTCAGTGGCCAGTGCGCTGCAACTGCCAGCCTGAGCTAGGGGGCACTGCTCACAGTCCCAACACCCACCCCCTCCTCTGCCACCAACCTACGGGTCCAGAGTCCAGCGTCAGAGCAAGCCCGTATCACGGGGTCAGCCACCCTTCCTGGTCACACGCAGCCACACTCCTGTGGGTCTGCAGCCCAAACACACACAGGTGCTCCTGACCCACCTGGGGGCAAAGCTGTGGCATCTCCAAGGCCATGGTGACTGTCCTCAGGGTGTCAGTCCTTCCGGACCCCACGTCCCCGAGCCCGTGGCCATGGTAGACCCGGGTATGACTACATAGGACGTGAACCTGATGCTGTTCACGAATTCCCACATCTGAGAAGCAAAGAAAAATGCCAAGGACAACACCCAGCAGACGAGTGGGGGAGAGGTGGGGAGATGCTGCAGGCCCCCCAGACTCACAGCCCTCCCACGTGTGCCTGCAGGGCGGCAGCTCATTGCTGGGTGAACCTGATACCCAGCTCCACTGCAATAAAGCAAAGCGCTGTTCCCGCAGCCCCTTCCCCACGATGCAGCCGTGATGCCCAAATCAGTTTAAATTTGCTTTTTAATTGTGTACATTGCTTCTTATTGAAGCTTCTGACTAGAAATATGTGTCTCATTTTATTTCATGTTCTTCAATTGACCCAAACACAAAGGCATTTTTCTCAAATACTAAATGCGCATGTACCTTTTTAATTAAAGCTTTAAAAGCTCTTAATTAAAACTATAAATCACGGGCAGCAATTCCTACCTCCCGTCTCGCAGGCCTCGCGGTTTCCTTCTTCGGTCACGGTGACCTGCGGGGGGAACAGAGGATGAGGGTGACTTTCACATTAAGTCGATTGCAAAGCAGCGTCTTTGTCACCTGCCAGGCATCAGGTGGCTAACGGGGCCTGGGCCACATCATTCCCTAACTCTCACATCTTCCCCGAGCCCTCAGGCCTCTTCCCCTGCCCCCTCGGCTGTGACACTGAGCAGCCAGCACCTGCTGGTTCACCCGGGGGCCTGGGGTCAGCTCAGGGCGTGGGGTGTGAGTGTCAGAACGAATTACCCACTGATCAATGTTTGGATACATTAACAAGCGGCTCTCACAGATTCCCACTTTTAGCAGTTTTGAGTATAATTGGTATTTGATAAATTACCTGTATTTAAAGTGTACAGTTTGGTCAGTTTTGAAAAATGTCTATATCAGTGACACCATCTCCACCATCAAGATGACAAATGTATCCAGTCCTGTCCCCGACCTCCCGCCCAGCTGATCTGCTTCCTGTCGCCAGGAACCCATCTGCATTTCCTAGAGTTTCCTACAAATAGAACTACACAGCGCACTGGTTTTTGACCAGCTTCTTTCACTCAGAATATTTCTTTCACTCAGAAATATGTCCCCATGCGTTGTTTTATTATCAACTAGAGGCCTGGCACACAGAATTCATGCGTGGGTATGGTCCCTAGTCATGCCTGTGATCAGGGCCATCTTCCCCAGCTGCCTGCAGCTGGCTCTGCCCCCGCCCCGCCGCCACCCACCCCCAGTTCCCCATTCGACATCGGGTGATCGGTGCCTGAGGACGGTCGGAGGAAGGGACCGAGAGGTCAGCTGTTCCCGCCCCTCGCAGGCCCCACCCCCCCCCGCGGGTGTCCATCAGGCGATCGGAGCCTGCCGGCTGGGGAAAGGCACCAAGAGGTGCTCAGTGCACCTCACAGTGACTGGTCCAGCAGTCATTCTGGTCGTTCTGCCGTTAGGGCCAATTTGCATATTATTTTTTTATTATACAGGATAATAGTTCTTTCTTTCCTTATCTCAGAGCCATTTCCCATTGACTAGAAACAATGATTTTTCACCTGTTGAATGGGGTTTTCACCAGCAGGTGAAGTGTTGGTTTTTAAAGAAACCTATTAGCAGTTCAAGCGGCCAACTCCCTGCCCAGCAGTGGTCACAGCCAGAGGGAGCCCTCCAGGCAGCCCCCAGAGCTGCTGGCCAGGCAGTGAGCACCCAGCTCCGTGGAAAAGCAGCCCCGCCAGCCACCATTGCTGAAGTCATCAAAATCTCCCAGCTCTGTGGAGGGCGAGTCTGCATATTTTTATAGATTTCCTCAGAAGATCTATACCTATTTACATAGGCCACCAGGCTTATAACCCTGTAGAGACTAGAACCGAAAATGTCTAGAAAACATGTCCCCATGCAAGAAAAATAAGCTCTCCAAAATCATATAGACAAAAACATGAATTTGCCCAGGAAAATAGAAACATCGGTGGTATCTGAACTTCCCACCACTGATTATTAATAACAAGAGTTACATTTGGTGCCTTTAAATTCAAGGGAACAGCCACCACAGACCTACATGTGGTGTGGTCCCAGGTCCCAGCTCCCTCCAGCCCACACACCTGGACACATGGGGCACTAAGCCAAGGGATGGGGTTTCCTGGGATCCCTCTGTTCCCACTCCTGAAAAACAAGTGACTGGGTCCATGGTTGCCCATCTTTAGACAGAAAGTCATTGAGAGGAACCAGAAAAGGAGGAAGTTGCTGTCTCCCAGGTGCAGACACGTATCTTAGGGAGCCAAGCAAAGTTTGCTCAGGGGGTCCCAGCTGATTTAGCTCAGTGGACAGAGTGTGGGCCAGCGGACTGAAGGGTCCCGGATTGGGTGCCACCTTGGGGCATGTGCAGGAGGCAACTGATCAATGTGCCTCTCTCACATCGATGTTTCTCTCTGTCTCTCCCCCTTCCTTCTACTCTCTAAAAACCAATGGAAAAATAGCCTCAGGTGAGGATTAACAACAACAACAAAGTTTGCTCATGGAACCATTTTGGAATTGCAAAGGGCTAATACAATGATAGAATTTTTACATAAAATTCTATCAACTGGGTAATATTTTAAATTGTATCTGGGGAGAAGAGGTTGAGTGGTAACATATGGAGACCCTTTGATCCAATTCAATGAACATTTCCTGAAGATTTCTGTATGCAGTATGATGGGGAGGTCACAGACAAGGCCTCCACCCTATCTAGAGACATTCTAGAAAGTTCAGTCCTGATGGAGCTTTTAAATCTCAATATTATGATTACAAAGGTAATACTAGTAGCTGAAAGATATTTGATCATTTCTCGCATACACACACACACACACACACACACACACTCACACACAAATGTGTTCTTTAAAAAGAATGTGTGGCCCTGGTTCAGTGAATTGGTTGGAGCAGGGTCCTGTACACCAAAACGTCGCCAACTGGATTCCCAGTCAGGGCCTAGACCAGGGGTGGGCAAACTTTTTGACTCGAGGGCCACAATGGGTTCTTAAACTGGACTCAGAAGAAGGAGCTGCGGCTGTGTTTCCCGACGTTGCCATGTTAACACTGCTGCTGGTGAAGGAGCGGAGGGGAGAGCAAGAGAACCCTCTGCTCTTTCGGCTCCGCGGGCGGATAGAACAGCCGAACGGGCCGGATCCGGCCTGCGGGCCGTAGTTTGCCCACGGCTGGCCTAGACCCAGGTTGGGGGTTCAGCCTCTGGTCATCTCTCTGTCTCTCTCTCTCTCTCTCTCTCTCTCTCTCTTCCCCTAAAAATCAATTTTAAAAAATGTTAAAGAATGTGTGTACAAATTATTTGTAAACATAGGGAAGCAATAAAGAAGCAAACAAAAATACTTTCTGTCTTGTCACCAAACACTAGCTGCTTATCATTCCAGAACTACGTACAAGTATAAATACAGATGGAATCAGTCATCCCCCTAAATAGCAGCTTTTCTTATAAACACAGGATTGTAAATGGAAGCTGCTTTGTAGCTCCCTGGATCCGCCACCTCCCGCTACAGTAACGCTGGGAAGTGAACAGTCTCCACGTCAGAGGCCTTATTCCCGGGCTCAGGGCCTGCAGGTCCCCTGAGGCTCAGCCGAGCAGGACAGGCCAGGCTGGGCAGCTGTGCATTCCTGCTCTGGCCCCAGATTACCTGGTTCTCTCTCTTGTCCAGGGGCAGATCGTCAGAGCAAGGGTCACAGCCACACCAGCCACTCCGGCACCTCGCAGCCTCTTCTCCTGCCACGTCTGCTCACACTTCATTGGCCAAGCCCAACATCAGTCTCTCAAGGGCACTGCAAGGTCACATGGCAGGGGGAGAAAGTGGGAAGCAAAAACAGTGGTCCAGCCCTCACAGCTCCTCCGCCACTCTGACCTCGCCTGGAGACCATCTCTCCATGACAGTGAGAACCCCTGCATCACCTCCCCTAGTGGCTACGAAGTGCCCTGTGCTGTGCACACACAGAACCCCTTTAACTGGTCCCCCGTCACTGGGCGCTGCGGCGGCTCGTAATGCCCTGAAAGCATGAGAAACGCTGTGTGGCACATCCCCGGACCAGGCACCTTCAGGGCCTACAGGGGCTCCCTTTGGCCTGAGTGAGCGACGGCCTCAGGTCCACCGGCATCTGACAAGCTCTCTGACAAAGCAGGGTCTGGCACTCAGTCCCGGCGTCCCCTCCCCACTGCCCAGAGGCCAGGTCTGTCCGGCATGCACACTGACCTGTGCAATGGTTGTCATTCTCTGCCCCCCTCCCAGGAGGAAAAGCACCTCTGCTCCCCCAGCTCTGACATTCCTGGGACCATCCAAGGGGACGGGGGTGGGAGTTCTTTGGCGACTCAGGCTGTGGGGACCTCAGGTGGGCGGACTCGCAGTCTCAGGTGTTCAGATGCGGGCAGACCTGCCGTGGCAGAGCGGCCAGTGCAAACACCGCCATGGGGAGGGGACTCCTGAGCTCTGGAGGTCACACGGGGTCTCAGAAGGTCCAGGGCTCCCTCGTAACAGAGCCAGGATCTCACTTCCCTCCTCAGACCAGCCACCGTTCCTGCTTCCCTCTGGGATGTGCGTCTCACACTATATTTATTTACAGTCACAACAACTGTCCTTGCAGGCTTGTTTGGGGAAAGCAAAGGACATTCATTATGCATGAGCTCCCGTTCGCAGGCTCCTCGAGCCAGGGCGGGGCTCCTCCTCTCCAGCCAGTGAGTGATGGCCGCAGCCAACCTGCTGAGAGCCAGGGCGCGAGTCCGAATGGGAGCGACTGGATTCCTTTTTCACCGGAATCAGTGGCCCGGTCGCGGCAGCCACGTGTGCACAGGGACAGGAGAGTCCAATGCTGAAAATGGTTGTGACAGTGTGACCCTCGGCTGAGGCTCAGAGAGCGAGGACGGTGAGGAAAGGGTCTTCCTGTAACTCCTCCCGACAAGAGCTCTGCCTTTCACCCACTAATCTCGCAGCCGCCCTGTGCTCCCTGCCAGGACACCCCTACGCCATAGGCAGTATTTTTAGATGGGTCTTCTCTCTGCTCCATTAGGTATTGTGTGGGCACTAAAATAACCACGTAATGAATGACGCCCCACGTTTATCACCTGGTGGCTCCATCCTAAAAGCATCTTTCTGACAGACATGTTCCTGAGACCCAGGGTGGGGCTCACCCACCTGTTTAACCCCCTGGGTTCAGGAAGGACCACCCCTCTCCCACCTGATAGGTGAGGCTGGCTGCAGGTGTGGGGGCGCCCAGGCCCTCACCTCCCCAACCCATCTGGGTAAACAGTTATTTTTTTAAACCGGTTTAACTGGTGTTTTATCATGTGGTGAGAATTTACGACACCGTATTACTATGCACGCACTGTAATGAACACATATGGAAACCGCTCAGAAAGTGGCCTCCCCCACACCTGAGACTGCGATTCTGCCCCATTTCGGGCCCCCACAGCCTGAGGTCTCCCAGAGCATCCCCCGTGAGAGGTGCCCCTCACCCCACCCCCTCCTGCACCCCTGGGCTGGG